TGTGTGTGTGTGTGTATATATATATAATTTATTATGGCCAGGAGGAATTCATAACAAGAATGTAGGGGTTGTCCAACATAAGAAAAAGAATTGATGTGATTCATTCATCACATTAGAAAAGCAAAGAACAAAAGCACACCATCCTATCAATTGATGCAGAAATGGCCTTTGACACAGTCCAACACCCAACACCTCTCACTAATTAAAACACTCAGCAGTATAGGAATAGAGAGGAATTTCTTTAATATAGTGAAAGTATATGGTGGAAGAAAAGAAAGCCAGCATCATTCTCAATGTACAAAGACTAAAAGACATTACCTTTGCTAACAGAGACCAGGCAAGGATGTCCACTATCATCACTCCTATTCAATATTTTATTGAAAATTCTGGCTAGACTACTAAGGAAAGATAAGGAAATAAGAGGCATTCAAATTTGCAAAGAGATGGTGAAACTTTAGCTATCTGCAGGTAATATGATAATGTGCACAAAACTTTCCTGAAGACTGAGGAAAAAAACTATTCCCTGTTCATGGATAGAAAGATTGATTTATTGTGAAAATGACAATCCAATCAAGAGCAACCTACAGGTTCAATGCAATCCCAATACATATACCAAGTTCATGAATGATTGTAAGCAAATCAATAAAACAATTTTAAAAAATGGATCTAAAAAAATTTCCCAGAATACCTGGGTTTCTGATTTGCTGACATATGGTTGAAGAATCCTACCACTCTCTTTTTGGAACAAATATGGATCTCTTTCAGTCACTTAACCAGGTCGTTGTCCTCCAGATTTCTTGGCACAACTTGATGTTCATCTGTTTGTTGGAATATGTTAATTGCCATGCCATCAATTCCTGGGGCTTTGCTTTTTTCCAGTTCTTTCAGAGCAGCTTGTACTTCTTCCTTCATCACCATGGGGTCTTGCTCAGACGTTGTTTCATTAAATTCTTCTGTGTGCACTAATTCCTTTTGGTATACTATTTCCATCTTCTTTTATTGCTTTCTACATCATTTAATATTCTACCCAAAACATCCTTAAGTATTGCAACTTGAGGCTTGAATTAGTAATTCAATTCCTTCAGCTTAAGAAATGTTGAGCAAGTTTGGCCTTCTGATTTTCTGACTCGAGCTCTTTGCATCTTTCATTACAATACTTTACTTTGTCTTCCCCAAAATGACTGGAACAGCACATCAACAGAGAACTGTCAGAAATGCAGGCTGGGTTTAAAAGAGGCGGTCGTGTTAGGGATATTGTAGCTAATGTTAGATGGATCTTGGCTGAAAACAGAGAGTACCAGAGGAATGTCTATCTGTTTCATTGAGTATGCAAAGACATTTGACTGTGTGAATTACAACAAACTATGGCTAACCCTAAAAAAGAATTGGGTATCCCAGAACATTTGATCACACTTATTCCAAACCTATCCTTGGACCAGAAGGCAATCATCAGAACAGAGCAACCACTGCGTGGTTCAAAATTGACAAGGGTGTATGCTAGGGATATGTCCTGTTTTTATACCTTTTCAATCTATACGCAGAATAGATTCGCTGGGAGGCTGAGATCTGTGAGGAGAAATGTGGCATCAGGATTGGAGAAAGATTCCTCAACAATCAGCATTATGCAGATGACACAACCCTGTTTGCTGAAACTGAGGAGGACCTGAAGTGCTTGCTGCAGAAGGTCAAGAACTGCAGCCTTCAATATGGATTGAAGCTCAACATCAAGAAAACAAAGATTCTCACCACAGGACAGATTGGCAGCATCATGGTAGATGGTTGAGAGATTGAGATTGGTAACAGCTTTAGTTTCCTTGGCTCCACAATCAACACTCTTGGTACTAGCAGCCAGGAAATTAAGATTAATTACATTGGGAAAGCCTGCTATCAGAGACCTCTCCAAAATACTTAAGAACAACGATGTCAGTCTGGAGAGTAAGGTGTGTCTGATACAGGCCATTGTCTTTGCAATTACTTGCTATGCATAAGAAACCTGGACAATGACAAGGGATGATAGAAGGAGAATTGATGCTTGTGACCTGTGGTGCTGGAGAAGAGTATTGACTATACCATGGACTGCTAGGACAACAAAAGATTCATCCTAGAGAGGGTGAAACCAAGCTGCTCCTTGGAGGCACTAATTCTGAAGCTTCATCTGATATACTTTGGGCATGTTGCAAGGAGGTACCAGTGTTCGGACATCATGGTTTGGAGGGTGGAGAGACAGTGCAAGAGAGAAAGATCCTTGATGAGATGGATTGATTCAGTGACTGGGGTAATGGGGTAGGTGTGTCAGAGAGAATAAGGTTGGCACAGGAGAGAGTAGGTTTCCAGGGTGTTGTACATAGGGTCACTATGAGTTCCAAGGAACTCGATGACACATAAAAACAACAACAGAAAAAACTGCTCTCTCAGGTTTAATTCCTTAGAATGACTTAGAGAATTCAGGAGTATTGTGATCTGTTTATTATACAGAATACAAAGTAGGATCAGCATAAAACAGAGATAATATGGAGGCATGATCAATTGACTCACTGTCTACATGAACTCTACTCTTTGCTCACTTCTCCTGAGGTCAAGCTGATCATTGGTGAGTCTTCTGAGTCTCACACTCTGAGTCACCTCAATAGTAGGAGCTAATAGATTTGGTCTGAGTATTCCACAAATAACATTCCAAAAATTCAGGAAGCAAAAGTGAGGACCAAATCCTTTGGATCTTTGCCTCAAAACTTCTAAACTTACTACAGCCTTCCAACTCAGTGTGGCTTGAAACCAGCAAATCAACCTGATCTGGCATCTTGGTATAAATGCACAATTTCAACGTCCACCTAGATTCCGGAATCAGAATCAGTATCAGCATTTTAACAAAATGCTGGGAGATCCATAAACATATTAAAAGCTAGGAAGGCCACCTTACTATGGAAGAGAGTCTTCCTTGTCCAAACTCTGTATCTTAATTTATTTTCTTCCATTGGGAAGAGAGAGGACTGTTTTCTTGATTGTTTAGGAAGCCCATTGGCTCACATTCCAGTTTGAGGTAAAACTGTCCTCTATTTACCTCCAGTATCTTCCTCATTTATTCATCTTTTTATGCATTCGTTCATCCAGTCAATCAAGAATGCCTTGTATATTCTAATATAAAGGATGTAAGTGGGTTATGTTTTGGTCTGTTCTCCGAAGCATCAGTGGTTTGAATCCACCAACCCTCTACAAGAGAAGAGGAATCAATCTGCTCCTATTAAGTTTTACAATCTTGGAAACCCAATGGAAAGTCAGGATCAAATCAGTAGCAGTGAATTTTGTTTTACATATTCTAATATACTTTCTATTTCTTTCCCTGGTCATTCTGGGCATGACTTCTTTGGTGTGCTTGGGATTTGGGATATGAGAGCTGACTGATATTGGCTTGTGGGCAGGAGACATGTTCCTCTAGTATTAAGGCTTAACCTTAGGCCTCCAGGTAGGTTGGGAAGGGGTATGAAGTGCTATTTCTCTTTATGGAGGTCCATAACATGTCCAGCGTATGTGTCTCTGGGTGTGTGATTCCCCACTTGGCAGAGCACCTCAGTAGCCCCATGAGAGTGACAGCTGCAAAAGCTTCCCATTGAGAACAGGGCTCCCATGTTGGAATTCAGAAGCCATTGTCATGAAGAATGCTGGAATGTGCGTGGAAGCAGTACTGAGAATAGTGACCAAAGCCAAAGTCCATGTAGCATAAAGACCAAGATCTGATGAGGTCCTATGTTTAGAGCAACATGTCATTTGACAAAAGACCTGTGAGCCTAGAGCAGTAAGCTGGAAAACTGTTGAGAATTCCAAAAGCCTCCAAGTTCTCGCCAGAGTAAGAACATGGGCAACTTGACAATAAGGTTGCTGAAGAGAGCCTTGGATAGTCCACATCCTCCCACTTTAGTGCTTTTCAAAGATGGTGTTGAGGGCTAAAGTTCGAGATAGCAATCGTGGAGATGTGTGGATTCATCTGTGAGGAGTTGAAGATGCCAAGAGCTGAGGCCAAGAGGCCTGTGTTGAAGTAATCTTCACCTGGGAGTAGATGACAGAGGAGTCCTAGGGGAAAGAATACAAACCTAGGTGAGGGAAAGAGGGTGCTGGATATGGGGGAGGGCCTGAAGGTCATTGAACTCACCTTGTTCTTGAGAATCCCTGCTGTGGAAGCTCCTGTGGAAAGAAAGGAGGTGTTGGGCTGTGATTCACTGAGAATGAATCTTTTTATATGGCTGTAAGTGCTGTCATAACTGTGTCTTTGAGGCCGTCCCACTTGGGAGGTAAGTATCACTCCTTTTGGTTCTCGCCCTGTACTGCAACAGCTGTCTTTCTGAGAGCCTCACCTGTCATCTCTGACCAATGCTCCTCAACATCACTTTCCACTCTACTTCCCACTCTGAGCTATCTAGGGATTTTTCAGAGAAAGAAATATATCTTTTTATGTTAGTTCTTTGATCACAGATTCATATTATGTATTATGAAGAAGCAGCATGGCATGCAACAAGCACAGTGTTAGTGGTTTAGAGAGCAGAAGAGGGATCAGCCTGAGAATGAGCCCTGGGTCATCCTTTCACCTGCATGGCCTTAGGCAAGTCAATCAATGCCTCCTGCTTCAGGTTCCTCATCTAGATTCTAAATGGTACATCATCTAATAATAGGGCTATGATAATAGTAATAGAATGTTTATTCATATAGTTGTTGTTATGTGCTGTCGAGTTGCTTGTGACTCATAGCGACCCTATGTACAACAGCCCTAAACTCTGCTCTGTCCTGTGCCAATCGCACTGTCTCTGAAACACCCATCCCAATTACCCCAGTCTCTGAATCAATCCACCTCATAATTGCTAATAACTTTCATGTGGTACATTTCTGAGCTGTATAAATACACATGCTATAATTGTGTGCCTTTATAACACCTAGAACTGTTTCTGGCACAGAAAAACTAGTCAAAATCTAATAAATGTTAGAAATGACTGTTATTCCATTATCTTAGAACTAGAGTTAAAACCATTCAACACACAAGCCTCTCTCTTTCCTTTCTACTTGGAATCCCCTTATCATTGCTACCTAAAATTGCTTGAGAAGCCAAGAAATTCAGCAATCTAGAAGTTGAACTCTGGGCCTGCTCTGTGATTTTTTTAGTTTTGTGTCTGTAGACAATGTTTACCTAAAAAGGATTATGAGTGTGAATACATTACTATTGTTGTTAGGTGCCATTGTGTCAGCTCTGACTCATGGTAACTCACTGTATAACAGAATGAACCGCTGCTCAGTCCTGCATTGTCCCCATAATCTCTGCTGTGTTTATTGTTTATTGTTGCATTCACTGTGTCAATTATGTCTTTGAGAGGCTTCCTCTCCTTCATCAACCTTTTATCTTTTCAGGCATCATGCTTTTTGCAAAGACTTCCCCTCTTAATAACATGCACAGAGTATGTAAGGCAAAGTTCTCACTATACTGGATTCCAAAGAGAACTGCGGTCTTACTTCTTCCAAGATTGAAACTTATTCTATTCTTAATCTCTGATATAGTAAATATTCTTCACCAGCAGCACAATTTAAATATACTAATTCTTATTTGGCCTTCTTTGTTACTTGTCCAATTTTCCCCATGCATGTGAGACAATTCAAAATATTGTCATTTAGGTCAAGGACATTTTAGTTTCTCTAGAAGTTCTTGGTAGAAGATTTGGTCATTGCAATATGAAATGTGATTTCTTGGATGCTTCTTCAATGGGTGCTCATTGAACTGCAAAGTGAAATAAAATCCTTGACAACTTCAAACTTTTCTCCATTTAGTATGATGATGGTCATTGGCCTAGTGAATTAATTGCTGTTGTTAGATGGTCCTTGAGTCCACTGTGATTCATAGAAACCCCAAGAACAACAGACCTGAACCCTGTTTATCCTGTGCCATCCTCATCATCCCTAGCACACTTAAGCCCATCACTACACTTGCCTCTGTCTTACTGGAGGGCTCCCTATCTTTTGCTGACCATCCATCTTTCCAAGCTTGATGTCCATTTCCAAGGAGTAATACATATATGTAAATAGTGATGGTACTGTCCCACTTGATAGATGAAGGTAATGAAGCTTTGAGAAGTTAAGTGACTGCCTGCAGGGATAGTTTTGTTATTTAGGCAATGCTGAGGTCATATTTAGAGCATAGAGAAAGCCGTAGCACAAAATGGATATGAATGAACTCCTAGAAGCTCAAGTTGAGAAACTGGAGTGGCAAATGTGTCAGCTCTTTGTCTGTTTTGCCCAGACCCTCTGAGGAAATAGAGGCAGCCATGCAGAGCAATAGGCTCTGACAGCTGAGACTCAGCCAGAATAGAGATTTTCTTAGCCCTTACCTGCATGGGACTTTTTTCCTCGAAGGTGCTTGACTTCTGAGTAAACCACGTCTCCTCCTTTAACGTTTACTTGAAAAGAAGTTGAAGTGTCAGATGATTCTAAATATTTTGCCTCATGGCTGATCTACTTTTTGCTTCCTCAGAGCAGATTGCTTTCTGAAGGAATTAGAAACTGACACCCCCTACCCCGCTCCCAGTATTTACATAGCTCATTCTTCATCTCCTCCCTCTATCCTGTCTCTTCCTCACCATTACTGTACACTGGCTGCAGTTCTAACCAGGCTGGTACATTGTGGTAGGTTGGTTCTTGAGCATCAGAAGTTGATGTGCTCCTGTGAGAAACAGAAAGCCTGAGCAAGTTAATAAAATTAGCTGTCCCTCACAGCTAGTGAGTCCTTATCTTAGGGTAGTTATTAAGTTTGGAAGCATACATAATAAATGACTTATGACTACTGTATTAAAAATCATTCTAAAAGCATTATTCACCATCACAAGAGCATGAAAACAGCCCAAATGTCCACAACTGTATGGAATGAGAAACTGTAGTATAGTCATATGATAGAATTACTATACAGCAATCAGGAGCAAGGACCTCAAAAAATACTATATAACTTGGGAGACACTAGAGAGCATCATGTTAAAATAACTAACTCAGTCTCATAAGGACAAATACTGCATGAAACCATTATTGTAAAAATAGAAGGATAACTAGTAAAAAGCATATAGAAGTCCAAGGGGGGAAGGGGTGAGAGCAGAAGGTTGAGGATTAGTAAGGAGGAAATCACAGGGATGTACAATTTGCTGGGTGGAGGGAGGGGGTGAAAGAAATTAGAAAGATCTGGTGGAGACCTGAAAAGACAGGGTAATTGTGGGAATAGTCCAATGGTGATTAATTTTTTTAAACACAATGTGTGAGAATGATTGTATGAAATGTAATGTCAATGAAGCAAAGTGTGAAACACACAAACAAAAAACTCCCAAACCCACTAGTTACATGAATGAATATGAACCAGGTATATGAGTAATTATATGCGTACTAATACAAATATGGAAAAATTATGCTAAAAGCATACTATCTGTATATATACATAGGAACTCTGGTAACTTAGTGGTGAGGAGTGATACTGCCAGCTAAAAACTCACGGTTCAAATCCGTGAACTGTTCTGCAGGAAAAAGATGGAGAATCTCCTTTTCTCTAATTTACAGCCTCTGAAAAACCACTGGAGAGTCAGCTATGAGTTGATTCCAATTTTATGGCATTTAAAACAAAAACAACAGTATCTTTTCATACTTTTTTGTCACTCTATCAGACAGTTAATGTTTGAAGCAATACTATGAGATCAACTCTATTATCTCCAGTTAACCAATGACAAAATTAAGATTCCAAAATTGAAGTGACTTGCTCACTACTGTACAACCAGAAAGGGTCTGAACCGATCTTTGAACCTGGTAACAAAGTCTATACTCTCAAAAAGAGTAGGTTTTCAGAGAAAATAGTAAAAGGAAGGGCTCAGAAAATCCTGCCATGATCTTGCCTACAGTGAGTTTGTCAACTCTAATGTAATTCCTGAGGTCTGACTTTGAGACAGCAATCTCTTCTTCACAGGTACTGTTTCCTGTTTTTCATGGATTCAATGATCTTTTGGAGAGGCCAAATTGTGTGACTCCATTTTTTTTTCTGCCATTATAACAAGAAATGGTTAGGTTGGGCCATGTCCAGAGCTTTGTGGTCTAAACCACCTAAGTTCATTGTAAGTATATATTCAGTGGTCATCAGACAACCAATGCAACAAAATGTGAGTTAATAATTGATGAGTTTGGCCCTATGAGTGGAAAACAGTGAGTGACAAGATCCTGAGACATCCTTGAGACATTCTAGAGGAGGAAGCATTGTAGAGTAAGCACATCCCATCCAGGATACACAGCAGAAACTGGAGTCTTTACACTGGCCTTACTTAGACCATGTGTTTATTTCAATAACCACACAGGAAAGATCATTTGTAGGGGTCCAGGCTAGGTCTTACCTCATAGGATCAGAGGCCGATTTTTCTCCTGTGAAAGTAAACAGAGAGATATTGGGTATAGAAGATGAAGCTCTTTACAAGGAACAGAGTTTATAGGAATCTCCTCTACAGCCTGCCTGCTACTAAGGTTTGGGTACTTTTTTTTGCAACATCTAGTAGCAGTTTCAAATTGTCTTCCTGTCAAACATTCTTCTTCTAGGT